AGCTGAGATAAGTGGCAAATACTCCGCCCAATTAGGGTTATTTTTAGAGGTCTGACTTAAAACATGTGTAGGGAATGAACAGAAGCGAAATTTAAAAATCGCCGCGGATTAAATTTTAGATTTAGGTGTCTATTTTCATTTGAGGCCTCTCGCAGCTTTCTGCACCTTCCAACAAAAAAGCCATAACGCTTTTGCCAAGAGCACCATTTTCGCTGTTGTCACGCAATAACTCGGCAGTGCTTCAACGTTTCGATCTCGAATTCTCAGCATAAGCTCGTAGGACAGTAAGCATTAGTCACTGAAAGCGCCATCGAAATCGAAAGTAAGATTAAAAAGTTTTTTCCTGAGGACGGGGTCCTCTTAAACTCCTAAGATTTATGTAGTGATATATCTTCTTGAGTTTTTTACTTATTTTCAAATAGGCTTTTGGGTTTTTATTATTTCAAAAACCTTTTAGAAGAGTTTAGTATAACGTGGAGTCCTCATAATCGTGCCATGCAGCATTTTGTCGACTAAGAGATTGCGCCCACGGACAGCGCATTCAAAGATCTTTCCATCTACGGACGCTTAAATCCATAACAGCCTCTGATAAGTATGAAAGAAATACACATCGAGTCAAACTTTTTCGTTTTCTCAAAAACGTATGATAATAATAATATAAATGTTATTGTTTAAAGCTTTATAACCACACAAATTTCCATGTTGATTAGGCTTACCTATAAAAGCTGCTGACATTCTTAAAAAAATGCTTAGTCTTTCTTTAGCCACGTGTTATATTCGAACTTATATGGCCATTATTTTTATTTTTGATTCTGATGTGGGTTCGAAATCGTGGATTAGTAATTTATTATCCTGCTTGTACGTATCAAATGGAAATATATGCAGTAATAGAATTCTTACTAAAATACACTACTTATCTTTGTCTCTCTAGGCTACAATGATCCAAAAGAATTGGGTTCATCAGGATTTTTACCAGCATTACAAACATATTTATGTCGTGCAAATAATACATGTTGGCTTACGCCATTGACAACAGATAATGCTAAATCATTTGGGTAGTATGTGTTCTATTGTAACGTTGAACAACACAAATAATTTTTTCTTTATTAATAATTAGATTTCTACAAATGATATCGAATGTATCTGATACATTATCAGTTCTATTTCAAAATAACGATACCGCTTCTTCAATAGATCGTCTATACAAATTACTGAGTGAGATCAATTCAATTGCTCATTTATTGAGCACCTATTGGAACGGTTATATTTCTGTTAGTTTACCCGTACAATCATTTAATGATTCAATATCAAATGAAACATTGAATACTTTATTTACTAATTCGATCTCGTTAATAAATTTACATCAAAATTGGCTTGTGAATGATGAAATTAGTCAAACAAAAACAAATGTAGAAGTGATGATCAAAATTGTTTTACAATCCATTGCTGTAAATAGGAATTTATATTACTAGATTTTTTTTTACATCGTAAATGCCCTGTTTATTATCTACAGACATATCAAAATCCAGCGACTGTTAAAACGATGTTTTGTACAAATAAACAATTTGAAAATACATTTCAATTTGAAGAAATACAACAAACAGCTAGAGATGTTGCAAAAAGTGAATTATGTGACTTATCCGATAGTGATTTGTTGAACTTTTTAATTAGTTTAAAGAAACAGTTGGATGATTTGTTCTTGACGGTAGAAAAATATAATACGAGAAAAAATAACGATTTTACTTATTTATTTATTATTGTAGAAAAACTTGAAGATGTTTTCGATACTCAGTAACCTCGGCAAACTTACAGCAGTATGTAGAGAGCATGTCTCATGGACATATGTTTTACTACATGATTTTTTATAATAGATTAGCGATGACTGGCAAACTTTGAACGAGAAACTAAGCATACTCAATATGACACTATTATCAGATATAGACAACATTGATTTTAGGTAAGTTATTATTTCACATTTAAACAGAATAGGATTTTACTTACGAAGGAAGTACCCCAACTGATAAATCGCTTTTTCAACGAAACCGAGTGGACTATAGGTAGTCGACGATGCTGATTCCGAATATCACCATGAATACTGCTGCTAGGCCTTCAAAGACCGGTCTTCTGGAAAACCAGTTTTCGAGAAACTCTAAAGAACAACCAAAAGCTTTCTTA